ACGAAAGTGTTCTTTTTTGGTCTTGCGATTGCAAGGCATTAGGCCTGAGGCATTACCGCATAGGCCTTTGTTGTTTATGAAAGCACCAAGGGGAGCGTTGTTGAAGGCTTTAAGGTGGGGAATTGGACCTTCCAACTGATTGTAGGATATGTCAACATTTGTTAAGCTCTGCAAATTGTCGAAAGTATCTGGAATTCGACCAAAGAGATTGTTGTGAGAAAGATTCAAAACTTCTAAATATTGTAGTTCCCCAAGCTCAAAGGGAATCTCTCTTGTGAGCAAGTTCTGGCTCAAATCAAGATATCTGATATTTTTTATTGTGCTTATTTCAGACGGAATATTTTCCCCAATCATATTATTGCTCAAGTTCAAGTCCCATAACTTCGAGCACTCCCCAATTGTTGTAGGAATTTGTCCACTGATATCATTTTCTGCCAAGTTAAGTTGTTCCAAAGATGACAGGTTTCTAATATTGTATGGAATTTTTCCAAAAAGTTGGTTATCATTCAATATGAGATAGCTCAAAGATGTCAGCAGTCCCAATTCTTGCGGAATCTCACCAGTGAAATGATTTGAAGAAAGATTGAGTCGTTGTAACCGAGTAGCTTGCGCTAGCTCAACAGGTATCCTTCCAGTTATTTTGTTGTGAGAGATTTGGAAGCTTGTTAAATTATGGCATTGCCCCCACTTAGGAGAAAGCTCACCATACAGATTGTTATGGCTTAAATCAATGAAATTCAAGTTGGGGTAAACTGCAAATTGTTCACTAATGTTGCCTGTAAGTTGGTTTCCATCAAGTCGAAGTCTAACTAAATTAGTGCAATTTCTCATACTCCTTGGAATTGGACCTGTCAAATGGTTGTTTGCTATTGAAAAGTTTTGGAGAAGTCCCCCAAGGCACAATTTCTCTGGTATATGCCCACTGAGTTTGTTATCACCTAATTGTAAATTTTCTAAAAGAGTGAGATTATTTATTTCTATAGGAATCAAACCTGACAAATTATTTTCCAAAAGATTCAACTGACTAAGACGTGTCAAGTTACCTATAGAAGTAGGAATTGAACCTGAAAGACTGTTATGGAAAAGTTGAAGGATAGACAAATTTTTCAAATTTCCTATAGAAGTAGGAATTGGACCTGAAAGATTGTTACTTGATAAATAAAGTTCACTAAGAGACACAAGCATTCCTACTTCTTGAGGTATTGAGCCAGAAAGCTTGTTTTCATAAAGATAGAGGATAGACAAATTTTTCAAATTTCCTATAGAAGTAGGAATTGGACCTGAAAAATTGTTACTTGATAAATCAAGTTCACTAAGAGACACAAGCATTCCTACTTCTTGAGGTATTGAGCCTGAAAGCTTGTTTTCGTCAAGATAGAGGATAGACAAATTTTTCAAATTTCCTATAGAAGTAGGAATTGGACCTGAAAAATTGTTACTTGATAAATCAAGTTCACTAAGAGACACAAGCATTCCTACTTCTTGAGGTATTGAGCCTGAAAGCTTGTTTTCGTCAAGATAGAGGATAGACAAATTTTTCAAATTTCCTATAGAAGTAGGAATTGGACCTGAAAGATTGTTACTTGATAATTCAAGTTCTCTAAGAGATATAAGCATTCCTACTTCTTGAGGTATTGAGCCTGAAAGCTTGTTTTCGTAAAGATAGAGGATAAACAAATTTTTCAAATTTCCTATAGAAGTAGGAATTGGACCTGAAAGATTGTTAATTGCTAAAGTAAGTACACTAAGAGACCCAAGCATTCCTACTTCTTGAGGTATTGAGCCAAAAAGATTGTTTTTCCAAAGAAAAAGGCCAGACAAATTTTTTAAATTTCCTATAGAAGTAGGAATTGGACCTGAAAGATTGTTACCTGTTAAACTAAGTTCACTAAGAGACCTAAGCATTCCTACTTCTTGAGGTATTGAGCCAGAAAGCTTGTTTTTCCAAAGATAAAGGATAGACAAATTTTTCAAATTTCCTATAGAAGTAGGAATTGGTCCTGAAAGATTGTTCCTTGATAAATCAAGTTCACTAAGAGACCTAAGCATTCCTAATTCTTGAGGTATTGAACCAGAAAGATTGTTTTTCCAAAGATAGAGGATAGACAAATTTTTCAAATTTCCTATAGAAGTAGGAATTGAACCCGAGAGACTGTTATTTGATAAATCAACATTTTTGAGAGACTCAAGGATTCCTATTTCTTTAGGAATGGCTCCATTTAACTGATTTCCATAAAGAGAAAGCAAACTGAGACTCGTTAACAATCCTATCTCTGATGGAATATTTCCTGAGAAATCATTGAAATCCAAGTAAAGAACTCTTAGTTGGGACAGCCTACCTATACTTGAGGGAATTGTCCCATACAATGAATTATCAGAAAGTCGAAGCTCCATCAAAGTAGGAAAGGCAAGAAAGTTGAGACTGTGAAGTGTACCTTTTAAACCATTACTTGAAAGGTTTAGATCGGTGATGCTTCCAGCCTTGTCACAGGTGATTCCAACCCAACTACAAGGATTGTCCCCAACCCAAGAAGAGAGTGAGGTTTGGCTTTTGTAGTGGAGACTGGTTTTCCATTTTAGAAGAGAGTCGGTTTGATTCACTCTTTGGGAATAAGTACAGGCATGGAGAGATTGAAGTAGTAGGAGGATGAGGAAGGATGGTGCCATGATATGATATTAGTGGTACAGAGGGTGTTGGAATGAATTCCTTTTACCTACAGCATTGATGAGTATTTATATAGGAAAAGAGAAACCTCAATACTCTGTTAGCCCTTTGATATTCCATCAACCTCGATTTTTTTGTTTTTGTTTTTGTTTTGTCTATTTGGAGTGGGAATGACTTTGAAAAAGGAAAAATATTATCCTCTCTTATGTGTACAAATAAAATGTCAAGTAACACATCCTTAACCCAAAATCAAAATTTTGAGATTTGGAAATTATAATTGTTGATTTTTCCGTAACTGTTTAGAGTTTTTCAATATTTATGGTTTGACAAAGTTTTTGGATAATGTTTCATAAGAAGTGGTAAGAGCTACTTTCAACTACTTGACAGCAACTTATAAGGAGAAAGTACTTTAAATATTTAGTGAATTGTTGATAATTAATTTTCAAATTACCACTGCATAATTTCAGTTATTCTTAAGCTAATCTTAAAAATAAATACTATCAAATTACTTCATT